ATGGTAGACGCTTGTACTGTACCCCATTTGGTCCAGGGCCCATCGCTGAAACGCAAACGTGTTTTTTGTTTTTTGTTTTTTGTTTTTGGCGAGGATTTAGGACCCCAGCCTCTCATGGTTGTCACGGGCAAGATTTTTCCTTATCTCCGGACCTTTGCTGTGTATCCGCCCGCCACTCACTTCTGTCTATCCGTCAAAACGCCACTTTGTAATTTTGTTTATTTTTCGTCGCAGTTCATCGCGGGCGCCGTGGAGCAGAGGATTTTCGACACCATGCTGGCGAAAAACCCGGGGCTGAGCAGCCTCGCCTCGACGGCCGTGCGGTCGGCGAATCTCTACGTGGGGTCCCTGACCATCGTGGACGGGTTACGTTACGTGGGGGTACAGCATTAAAGAGCACACCGTTGGTACCCCACGAATAAGCGGGGCCCCTTCCATCAGCGACTGCCTGTGAGGGCTAGACGCGGTTTTGATGGTTTATTCCACACGGCGGCGATAGTTTTCCGGGGGGGGGGGGTGTCAACCTTCCTCGCCGTTGATGGAGACTCTCTGGGTCTGGACACGCAGCGCAGGTGTACGCGCACCTTTTGTCCGATCTCTGGGGTTCTCTCCCTGCATCTCCTGGGCTGCAGAAGCAATGTCGTCGTGCTTGCGAGGTAGCACTCTTGCGTTATGGTAGGCACGGCTGGCTGCTGGTTGGGTCACTCTTAACGGATGGATGCCGAGTGTCGGGTGTTCTTCCGGCCTTTTCCTGTGTCGGAGATGTCGGAGATTTACAGCAGCACTAGGCTCGCAACCGTTTCGTGCTGACTGTCGTGGTAATGTGTGGGTGTTCGTGAAGTGTGCTAGTCTGGTAGTTTCTTGAAAAAAGTATTATTTTTTATTCGATGTTGTGCCACGGTTACGGTTGGTGGCGAGTGGTCGGTGAGGTGCTTGTTGTGGTGACTTGTCTCTTTCTGTTCCACCGCTGGCCAGTGAGGGGGGGGGGGGGGATGTCGCTCAACCAGTCACGCACACAATTTCAATTTGCTTGATAATATGGATGTCCATTTGATGCAGGCGCCTGGTGTTGTTTTAGTGGGGAAACGTAAAAGTCTGTCGCGGCGCCACGGATGCTCTCTTCCCAAATTAGTCTGACGAACTGTACGCGAACGGGCGCCGGGGGGCCGCACCGTTCACGCATATGGTTCTCAGGTGGTGTTGTTCTTGCCCCGCTACTTTTCCTTCCTGGTGCTGACGGTGTGTTGCGGTACGTACCTATTCCGCGTGTGCATCAGTGTTAGATTTGCTTGGGGTTTTCACGGGACAAGGCGGTTGTTGGACCGGCGAGACATGACTGACTGCTGTAGGTGCAGTGCGGCATCATGTCTCTTGCCTCTTTGCTTGTTGCGCTGGCTATTCGCTGACTGCAGCCTCCGGCGCGCGAATTGAACACGGGACTCAACCAAACGAGGTTTCATGGCACGTTATTTTTTTTGCTCTTAATTTTCTCTCTGCTTGCGCATGTAGGAGAGAGGGTGGGCATGGAAATTGGATGCTGTTCAACTCCCGTACTGCTGTACGGCTCTCACGGTACCCCCACCAAAGGGCAGGGTGTTTTTTTTTCTTCGAATCCTATCCCCGTTTTTGTTATCTTGGGTTCCTGCTGCGCCTGTTATGTGCGCGGCAGTAGCCAGCTCGCAGCTTTTCCAGCTGGAATACTGCTTGGCGCTGTAGTCGCCTATCCATGATCACATTGTAAACGTTAGGTAAGGTGCAACTAGAGCACGTCGTAACCTTGTGCCTGAGAACGAAAAATGTTAGACGTTCGTCAGGCGTATTTCCGTAGACCGATGTTGATCGGGGAGGGGAGAGGGGCTGCAACAGGAGCGAAAACACTTAGGGTTTTCCCTATTTGTAGAGTAGCAGGGAAAGGTGTTGCGTATTAGTATGATCCAACTTAATTAATGAACTAT